GGCCCCTTTACTTTCAGTGCAGCAAACTCAGTCCAGAAGTTCAGTGAGGATCTTTGAATGATCCAATGTTGTCCTAAATGACTGATGATGATAAATAGAATGCACCTGTGTGTAATCAAGTCTCCGTATAAATGCACCAGCTCTTTGATAGTCTCAGGGTTCTGTTTAAAGCACAGAGAGAACCATGAAGACAAAGGAACACACCAGGCAGGTCCGAGATACTGCTGTGGAGAAGTTTAAAGCCGGATTTGGATACAAAAAGATTTCCCAAGCTTTAAACATCTCAAGGAGCACTGTGCAAGCAATTATATCGAAATGGAAGGAGTATCAGACCACTGCAAATCTACCACGACCCGGCCGTCCCTCCAAACTTTCATCTCAAACAAGGAGAAGACTGATCAGAGATGCAGCCAAGAGGCCCATGATCACTCTGGATGAACTGCAGATAACTACAGCTGAGGTGGGAGAGTCTGTCCATAGGACAACAATCAGTCGTGCACTGCACAAATCTGGCCTTTATGGAAGAGTGGCCATTTCTCAAAGATATCCAATAAAATGTCTCTTAAAGTTTGCCACAAGCCACCTGGGAGACACACCAAACATGTGGAAGAAGGTGCTCTGGTCAGATGAAACCAAAATCAAACTTTTTGGCCACAATGCAAAACGATATGTTTGGCGTAAAAGCAACACAGCTCATCACCCTGAACACACCATCCCCACCTCAGCTGTAGTTATCTGCAGTTCATCCAGAGTGATCATGGGCCTCTTGGCTGCATCTCTGATCAGTCTTCTCCTTGTTTGAGATGAAAGTTTGGAGGGACGGCCGGGTCTTGGTAGATTTGCAGTGGTCTGATACTCCTTCCATTTCAATATAATTGCTTGCACAGTGCTCCTTGAGATGTTTAAAGCTTGGGAAATCTTTTTGTATCCAAATCCGGCTTTAAACTTCTCCACAACAGTATCTCGGACCTGCCTGGTGTGTTCCTTTGTCTTCATGGTTCTCTCTGCGCTTTAAAAAGAACCCTGAGACTATCAAAGAGCAGGTGCATTTATACGGAGACTTGATTACACACAGGTGCATTCTATTTATCATCATCAGTCATTTAGGACAACATTGGATCATTCAAAGATCCTCACTGAACTTCTGGACTGAGTTTGCTGCACTGAAAGTAAAGGGGCCGAATAATATTGCACGCCCCACTTTTCAGTTTTTTATTTGTGAAAAAAGTGTAAATTATCCAACAAATTTCATTCCACTTCACGATTGTGTCCCACTTGTTGCTGATTCATGACAAAAAATTAAAATTTTATATCTTTATGTTTGAAGCCTGAAATGTGGCGAAATGTTGAAAGGTTCAAGGGGGCCGAATACTTTCGCAAGGCACTGTATGTGTTTGTTATTCTTTCATTTCCTGTGTTCGAACGGTTTGATTTTCTTATTTGTTGTTGAGGAATCAACTGCAAAGTCCTCCGAGACACACTTTAGACTGTGTGTTTGGTTTAGTTTGCAAACTCCTCCTAAAAAGGACAGGGCCAGGCTTGTTTTTCTCCCTGAACCCAAAATGATTTGATATGATCGCTTCACTTCCACAAGCTGTGAATGACTGCATGTTTAGAGCAGCTCTCCTAATACAGTGGAAGTCACTGGAAGTGCTATTTTTAGACACATTTGTGGAGTGATAGTGTTGGCTGTTCGCACACTCACACAGTGGCTAGACAAGGCGTGCGCCTCAACTTTGTTTTGAAATGACTGGACCCACTGCATTCATTCATGCCATGCCCTACAGTGGTGAACTACTGCTGTAACCACAGCTGCCCTGGGGCAGACAGACTTGAGAAAGGCTGCTTATCTATGCCATCGGTTTCCCCAACACCTATACAACCAACAACCAAAGACAATGACAGCTTGAACTCCCATCACAATACTAACCAGGCCAAATCATGCTTAGCTTTGGAGATCAGTGGATCAGTGGTGGATGCTGTAAAATGTATAGAAGTATTTGAACAGTTAGCTCTGAAAGTGGCTGAGGTGTTTCTGTGTTTCTGTGAACAGACACAGGAGGCGTTCTTTTGCAGAAAACAGAAATACAGAATTCAAACAGAGTCTTACTGAACTCACATTTAAAATACATGTTATTAATCAAAAGTGGATAATTCAGGTTGGTGAATCTCAGAGGGAAGCCGTCCCAGTTGGGCTTCTTTGATTTGGACTTTATATGGTGTGATTGAAATGAGATTGACTCATTTCAAATTATGGAACTGGCTCAGATTCAAACTTCTGTTCATAAAATCAATACAAACATGTTTTTTAAAAGATAAATGACAAAATGACAGTAAGTGTTGTGCTGTGTTGTAAATTAGTGCGATATTTGATAGAGGTGGTCTGCTGTCCTGACCCTCCACATGGTCTGCTGCTCTGACCCTCCACATGGTCTGCTGCTCTGACCCTCCACATGGTCTGCTGTCCTGACCCTCCACATGGTCTGCTGCTCTGACCCTCCACATGGTCTGCTGCTCTGACCCTCCACATGGTCTGCTATCCTGACCCTCCACATGGTCTGCTGTCCTGACCCTCCACATGATCTGCTGCTCTGACCCTCCACATGGTCTGCTGCTCTGACCCTCCACATGGTCTGCTGCCCTGACCGCCCACATGGTCTGCTGCTCCTGACCCTCCACATGGTCTGCTGCCCTGACCCTCCACATGGTCTGCTGCTCTGACCCTCCACATGGTCTGCTGCTCTGACCCTCCACATGGTCTGCTATCCTGACCCTCCACATGGTCTGCTGTCCTGACCCTCCACATGTCTGCTGCTCTGACCCTCCACATGGTCTGCTGCCCTGACCCTCCACATGGTCTGCTGTCCTGACCCTCCACATGGTCTGCTGCTCTGACCCTCTACATGGTCTGCTGTCCTGACCCTCCACATGGTCTGCTGCTCTGACCCTCCACATGGTCTGCTATCCTGACCCTCCACATGGTCTGCAGTCCTGACCCTCCACATGGTCTGCTGCTCTGACCCTCCACATGGTCTGCAGTCCTGACCCTCCACATGGTCTGCTGCTCTGACCCTCCACATGGTCTGCTGCTCTGACCCTCCACATGGTCTGCTGTCCTGACCCTCCACATGGTCTGCTGTCCTGACCCTCCACATGGTCTGCTGCCCTGACCCTCCACATGGTCTGCTGCTCTGACCCTCCACATGGTCTGCTGCCCTGACCCTCCACATGGTCTTCTGCCCTGACCGTCCACATGGTCTGCTGTCCTGACCCTCCACATGGTCTGCTGCTCTGACTCTCCACATGGTCTGCTGCTCTGACCCTCCACATGGTCTGCTGCTCTGACCCTCCACATGGTCTGCTGCTCTGACCCTCCACATGGTCTGCTGTCCTGACCCTCCACATGGTCTGCTGCTCTGACCCTCCACATGGTCTGCAGTCCTGACCCTCCACATGGTCTGCTGCTCTGACCCTCCACATGGTCTGCTGCTCTGACCCTCCACATGGTCTGCTGCTCTGACCCTCCACATGGTCTGCTGTCCTGACCCTCCACATGGTCTGCTGTCCTGACCCTCCACATGGTCTGCTGCCCTGACCCTCCACATGGTCTGCTGCTCTGACCCTCCACATGGTCTGCTGCCCTGACCCTCCACATGGTCTGCAGTCCTGACCCTCCACATGGTCTGCTGCTCTGACCCTCCACATGGTCTGCTGCTCTGACCCTCCACATGGTCTGCTGCTCTGACCCTCCACATGGTCTGCTGTCCTGACCCTCCACATGGTCTGCTGTCCTGACCCTCCACATGGTCTGCTGCCCTGACCCTCCACATGGTCTGCTGCTCTGACCCTCCACATGGTCTGCTGCCCTGACCCTCCACATGGTCTTCTGCCCTGACCGTCCACATGGTCTGCTGTCCTGACCCTCCACATGGTCTGCTGCTCTGACCCTCCACATGGTCTGCTGCTCTGACCCTCCACATGGTCTGCTGCTCTGACCCTCCACATGGTCTGCTGCTCTGACCCTCCACATGGTCTGCTGCTCTGACCCTCCACATGGTCTGCTGCTCTGACCCTCCACATGGTCTGCTGCTCTGACCTTGCACATGGTCTGCTGCTCTGACCCTGCACATGGTCTGCTGCTCTGACCCGCTCTGACCCTCCACATGGTCTGCTGCTCTGACCCTCCACATGGTCTGCTGCTCTGACCCGCTCTGACCCTCCACATGGTCTGCTGTCCTGACCCTCCACATGGTCTTCTGCCCTGACCGTCCACATGGTCTGCTGTCCTGACCCTCCACATGGTCTGCTATCCTGACCCTCCACATGGTCTGCAGTCCTGACCCTCCACATGGTCTGCTATCCTGACCCTCCACATGGTCTGCAGTCCTGACCCTCCACATGGTCTGCTATCCTGACCCTCCACATGGTCTGCTGCTCTGACCCTCCACATGGTCTGCTGCTGCCTCCAAATGTAGCCTGACCCTGACTATATTCCTCCATGTCTGCTTCACCTCTGTCTCTCTGCTCAGAGTGCTCAGGCAGTGATCTTTGACCAAGACACCCACAGAGCTCTGCTGCCACCTGCTGGCTTAATAAAACACTGTCTACGGCCAAACCCCAGACATATACGATGCACAGACACAGACGGAGAGGAAAAGATTGAAAAACAATGTTGAAGTCTGTATTACGTATTACGTCAATTATTATTCTCTTTGCGCAGTTACAAGTTAAGTTTAAAGTGCATCTCAAATCAACGGTTGCTGCCAAAAATCTTCCCGACGACAGTAGCGTGAGTTTTGGAGTCTGCTCTTGTGTTCGTACATCCCGGAATCACTGACAATAGTAAGAAAACATGAGACACTTCCTGCTCTGATTTACCAATAAAAAGCAGTATTATTCTTGATTACTACAGGGGAAGTGAAAGAGGCGGTTTGTCTCTGTGGCAGACTGAGGATATTCACTCATTCCCAAAGAACAATACGAAGGATGACGGATTTAGGTCAAAAAGTTCCACTGTGGCTGAGGCTGTGGCTGTGGCTGTGGCTGAGGCTGAGGCTGTGGCTGTGGCTGTGGCTGAGGCTGAGGCTGAGGCTGAGGCTGTGGCTGAGGCTGAGGCTGAGGCTATGGCTGTGGCTGAGGCTGAGGCTGAGGCTGAGGCTGAGGCTGTGGCTGAGGCTGTGGCTGAAGCTGTGGCTGAGGCTGAGGCTGTGGCTGTGGCTGTGGCTGAGGCTGTGGCTGAGGCTGTGGCTGAGGCTGAGGCTGAGGCTGAGGCTGTGGCTGAGGCTGAGGCTGTGGCTGAGGCTGTGGCTGAGGCTGAGGCTGTGGCTGAGGCTGTGGCTGTGGCTGTGGCTGTGGCTGAGGCTGTGGCTGAGGCTGAGGCTGTGGCTGTGGCTGTGGCTGAGGCTGAGGCTGAGGCTGAGGCTGTGGCTGAGGCTGAGGCTGAGGCTGTGGCTGTGGCTGAGGCTGAGGCTGAGGCTGAGGCTGTGGCTGAGGCTGTGGCTGAGGCTGTGGCTGAGGCTGTGGCTGAGGCTGTGGCTGAGGCTGAGGCTGTGGCTGAGGCTGTGGCTGTGGCTGAGGCTGAGGCTGTGGCTGTGGCTGTGGCTGAGGCTGTGGCTGAGGCTGTGGCTGAGGCTGAGGCTGTGGCTGAGGCTGTGGCTGTGGCTGAGGCTGAGGCTGTGGCTGTGGCTGTGGCTGAGGCTGTGGCTGAGGCTGTGGCTGAGGCTGAGGCTGTGGCTGAGGCTGTGGCTGTGGCTGAGGCTGAGGCTGTGGCTGAGGCTGTGGCTGAGGCTGAGGCTGAGGCTGTGGCTGTGGCTGTGGCTGAGGCTGTGGCTGTGGCTGTGGCTGTGGCTGAGGCTGTGGCTGAGGCTGTGGCTGAGGCTGTGGCTGAGGCTGTGGCTGAGGCTGAGGCTGAGGCTGTGGTGCTGTGGCTGAGGCTGAGGCTGAGGCTGAGGCTGTGGCTGAGGCTGTGGCTGAGGGGTGGCGTGGCTGAGGCTGTGGCTGAGGCTGTGGCTGTGGCTGAGGCTGAGGCTGGTGGCTGTGGCTGTGGCTGAGGCTGTGGCTGAGGCTGTGGCTGAGGCTGAGGCTGTGGCTGAGGCTGTGGCTGAGGCTGAGGCTGTGGCTGTGGCTGTGGCTGAGGCTGTGGCTGTGGCTGTGGCTGTGGCTGTGGCTGTGGCTGTGGCTGTGGCTGAGGCTGTGGCTGAGGCTGTGGCTGAGGCTGTGGCTGAGGCTGTGGCTGAGGCTGAGGCTGAGGCTGTGGCTGTGGCTGAGGCTGAGGCTGAGGCTGAGGCTGTGGCTGAGGCTGTGGGGTGGCTGTGGCTGAGGCTGTGGCTGAGGCTGAGGCTGAGGCTGTGGGGTGGCTGTGGCTGAGGCTGTGGCTGAGGCTGCGGCTGAGGCTGAGGCTGTGGCTGAGGCTGAGGCTGAGGCTGTGGCTGAGGCTGAGGCTGTGGCTGAGGCTGAGGCTGAGGCTGAGGCTGTGGCTGAGGCTGAGGCTGAGGCTGTGGCTGAGGCTGAGGCTGAGGCTGAGGCTGTGGCTGAGGCTGAGGCTGAGGCTGTGGCTGTGGCTGTGGCTGAGGCTGTGGCTGAGGCTGTGGCTGTGGCTGAGGCTGTGGCTGAGGCTGTGGCTGAGGCTGTGGCTGAGGCTGTGGCTGAGGCTGAGGCTGAGGCTGTGGCTGTGGCTGAGGCTGAGGCTGAGGCTGAGGCTGTGGCTGAGGCTGTGGCTGAGGGGTGGCTGTGGCTGAGGCTGTGGCTGAGGCTGAGGCTGAGGCTGTGGGGTGGCTGTGGCTGAGGCTGAGGCTGTGGCTGAGGCTGAGGCTGAGGCTGTGGCTGAGGCTGAGGCTGTGGCTGAGGCTGAGGCTGAGGCTGAGGCTGTGGCTGAGGCTGAGGCTGAGGCTGTGGCTGAGGCTGAGGCTGAGGCTGAGGCTGTGGCTGAGGCTGTGACTGAGGCTGTGGCTGAGGCTGTGGCTGCGGCTGAGGCTGTGGCTGAGGCTGTGGCTGAGGCTGAGGCTGTGGCTGAGGCTGTGACTGAGGCTGTGGCTGAGGCTGTGGCTGCGGCTGAGGCTGTGGCTGAGGCTGTGGCTGAGGCTGAGGCTGTGGCTGCGGCTGAGGCTGAGGCTGTGGCTGAGGCTGAGGCTGTGGCTGAGGCTGTGGCTGAGGCTGAGGCTGAGGCTGAGGCTGAGGCTGTGGCTGAGGCTGTGGCTGAGGCTGTGGCTGAGGCTGAGGCTGTGGCTGAGGCTGTGGCTGAGGCTGAGGCTGTGGCTGAGGCTGAGGCTGTGGCTGTGGCTGTGGCTGAGGCTGAGGCTGAGGCTGTGGCTGAGGCTGAGGCTGTGGCTGAGGCTGAGGCTGAGGCTGTGGCTGAGGCTGAGGCTGAGGCTGTGGCTGAGGCTGAGGCTGAGGCTGAGGCTGAGGCTGTGGCTGAGGCTGCGGCTGCGGCTGCGGCTGAGGCTGAACGTGCGAATGGGAAGCAGCTCATACTCACTTTGTTTAATGCATTTGAGATACTTATGTTTGAATAAAGTGAAGGACATTAAATGGTTGTGGACCCCATAGACCTCTTTTATATTAGTGTGTAAGATAAATAATGTGTTAGCTCCGAGGATGACGTCACAATAGGCTCTGTCATAGGTCATAGGTCATAGGTCATAGGTCATAGGTCATAGGTCATAGGGCCATTCTTTCTACATTGTTTCAAACTGGAGCAGCAGTGATGTCATGCGTCGGTGCAATATCCTTCACTTCACTGTGTCCCAGAACCTCATGCTGCTAATGTACAGGTGTAAACATACAGCTGCTAATGTACAGATGTAAACATACTGCTGCTAATGTACAGATGTAAACATACTGCTGCTAATGTACAGATGTAAACATACAGCTGCTAATGTACAGATGTAAACATACTGCTGCTAATGTACAGATGTAAACATACTGCTGCTAATGTACAGATGTAAACATACTGCTGCTAATGTACAGATGTAAACATACTGCTGCTAATGTACAGATGTAAACATACTGCTGCTAATGTACAGATGTAAACATACTGCTGCTAATGTACAGATGTAAACATACTGCTGCTAACGTACAGATGTAAACATACTGCTGCTAATGTACAGATGTAAACATACTGCTGCTTATGTACAGATGTAAACATACAGCTGCTAACACGTACAGATGCTAACATACTGCTCCTCATTCCTACTGTTCTGTAACTTGTGATGCAACACTGACATTTTCCCACTGTGGGATGAATGAAGGATTAATCTCTTCATAGATTCCCAGGGGTTTAGTGGAATCGTGTGAAATTAGAAATGAAAGCGCTGTCATATTGTGCTCTCCCTTCATTTAAAGCTGGTGTACTTAACTTTTATCTTTCATAGATGTTTCTGTGACTCTTTGGGCTGAGCTGGTTGGCTGATAAACCAAACTGTTTTGATAGCGAGGAGCCGTAGTTAGATAAATGTCCCAGCTTTGATTTAAAACATCCAATAATTATTGTTTTTCACAAGAAAACCAGTGCTCTTTTCAACTTTGATCATGCTTTTGGTGTTTTTCTTGAGAAAATGAGTTGCATAGATTTGGATTTAAAGGCTTTGGATGAAGCGTCCTTTCTTCTGAGGATGTGCTGAACACACTGAGCAGACGTGAGGCCCAAACGTGCACGTGCATGTATCGTTTATGGAACTCAAAAAGGGTTGTTACTGAACCGGATTAGCATTAGCATTAGCATTACCCTGAAGCTGTGACGGGGGCAGACGTTTTGCTAACACAGTTGATAAGGCGAGCTGGAGCATCTGTCACCAAATGAAGGCGTTTGGAAGATTTCACATTTTGACAATAACTCATTTGGATTTAATGCATCCGTTTAAATAGTGTTTTTTGGACACTCACATGTGTCATTGTTTCCTCCACACACACTGGTGATAAACTGTTACTGCATTCATGCACAATGTGAGTGAAGTGTCTTGCCTAATGACACAATGACAGTTGTGTGGGGGAGCAGTGGGAGGAATGGGTACAGTGGGTGGGACCTTCGCTTTAACTCGATAACTGTAACTTTATAATAACAAATGTAGGACCTCTTCATGTAAGTAGTCTTTATTAAGTAATCTTTATTTATATACCGCCTTTTCACTGCAGATCTGAGTCTCAAAGCGGTTTACAATTGTTAATTTTGGGCATTTGTCTCTCACTCCACACAGAGATGGGAGCGGGGTCGCCAGTACAGGAGGCGCATGCTAGAACTATTAGACATATTTTTAGTGGTAGGGGAAACCGGAGTACCCGGAGGAAACCTACGCAGACACAGGGAGAACATGCAAACTCCACTCAGAAAGGCCCTGGTCCGACCGGGATTCGAACCTAGGACCTTCTTGCTGAGAGGCGAGAGTGCTATCCACTCAGCCACCGTGCCGCCGCATCATGCCACTAAACCCAGTAAAAGAAAGTTGTGGGTCTTTACCCAGTTCTGTTCAGGGGGTCCGCCCCCCTCACAGCAGGCAGCATGGTCCGGCCCCCCTCACAGCAGGCAGCATGGTCCGGCCCCCCTCACAGCAGGCAGCAGGGTCCGGCCCCCCTCACAGCAGGCAGCCTGGGAACGGAATGCAGTGTGGTCGTAGCTCATTGTGAGGTCACTGCCCACACTTCCTGGTTTGTTTAGCACCAAATCCCACCCGCTCCTCTCTTCTTCCCAGTCTCAGACTTGGGTTGCCACGAAGTTATCAAGAGATCGCCACATTTGAGAGCAGTTTCTCCAAAACAATGGCCTGAATATGTGTTTTTGAAGGTTCCCTGCTTCTTTTGATCCTCATGGTCTGTCAGATTCACTAAAACCTGTGAGTTTGACTTTGGGGCCAATAAGTCTAAACCCTTCACTTCCCCTTCACTTCATCAGCACAGGAAATCATTCTCTAATTAAACAGCATTTCATAAACTATACATGTATCTATCACTACAAAGTAGGGTTTCATATTAGCTTTTGTTTGTAGTTGTTGTTTTTAGCCCAAGTAATGTATGATATCACTCAAATATATAATTCATCAAAAGCTGCTGTCTCCACCAGTGTTTCACTCATAGACTGTATATATTTCACCAAGAGACTTGCTAGCTTTGCTAAAGTAGCGTTTTCAGACGTTTTGTTGATGGGCTTTCTTCAGGAGTTTCACTGCTGAGATTCTAAATGTCTGTAATCCAGTTGTGGACCAGTGACGTGTGGTTTGGAGGCACTGACTTCAGTCCAATCAGATGAACATCATCAACAGGACCTACAGAGGCTTATTCACAGTTTGTTTGGCTACAGCAGAATATGTTCCATGCCCACATTGTTTGCTCATACAAAACACAAAAGTTCGTAAAAAGCACATTTCCGAGTGTGTTATGGGCCTTACCTTAGTTATTAATGAACAGCACAGACCAGTTCAGCTCAGACCAGTTTCATGTTTAAGTCCAGATAATAATTTGAGCGTAGATGTAATCCTCCATTTGGAAATAAGCCCAAAGAGTTTTAAGAGTAAAACAAAACGGGTGCCACCTCCATAAACTCCTGGGTTTCGCTGCAGCCGAGTCTCGGGTGCATCCAATTTCTAATATCAACCTTCTTACCCTTCACCTCTCATTCATATCGTCATTGGAAGCATAACATTACCCTAAATGCATTTTAAATTATCTTAAAATGTGTTATATGTATGTTAGCCAAACCTGTAGCTGCCCTTAGCAGATGAAGAATAAGAAAGGAGCTTTCTGATGTGCTTTGGATGCAGCCGAATTCTGGGCTCACAGGCGCCCCCCTGAGGCTGGCCTCAGTTGGTGATACTACAAGCCGTGGTTGAGCACGAATAAGACCCATATTTGTCAAAAACACAATTTATGAACCATCCTCTCGACTGTAGACGTGTAGATTGTAAATTAAATATGTTTGAACTTTGAACATTAAACATGCTCTATAAAAGGAGCGCACTGGATTTTTTTCAACTTTCATTTCCCGTTTCCCGTCTTAACATTTCCCGGGAATCGGGAAATAGTTTTGATCAGATTTCCCGGGAATCCCGTGTCCCGGGATTAAACCCTACAAAGTAATCTTTCCTGCTGGTGATCCCAAAAGTCTCCCATCACAGTATTAACCATAGATTACCAAATTTAGGCCTAGAGCTTTAAAATCTGAGTAATGACTTTAAAGTATAGAATAATAAAAATATGGCTGGAATATGGCTTTGGTTATGCGGCACGGGCGCATTATAGTTGGTGGCTGAGTGGTTAGCACTCTCACCTCAGACCAGGGCCTTTCTGAGTGGAGTTTGCATGTTCTCCCCGTGTCTGTGTAGGTTTCCTCCGGGTACTCCGGTGTCCCCTACCACTAAAAACATGCACAATAGGTCTGGCATGTGCCTCCTGTACTGGCCCCGCCCATCTCTGTGTGGAGTGACAGACTAATGCTCAACAATAACAATTGTAAACCGCTTTGTAGTAGTAGTAATCTTTATTTATATACCGCCTTTTCACTGCACATCGGAGTCTCAAAGCAGTTTACAATTGTTATTTTTGGGAGTGGGGCCAGTACAGGAGGCACATTCACGTGACTCTGGTCTGTGAAAGGCTGTCTATAAATAAAGATTACTTACTTACTTATGCAAATTTCACATATATTTGTTCAAAAAACATTTTGTGTTATGTGTTATAACTTACGGAGCTATTACTGTTGAATAGATTCTAAACACATCATAATCAATAATCACAAAGTATATTCTTAACTCTCCATCGGTGAATGACTGGCTGTTCTCCGCTTTTTCAATAGAGGTCTCCACGTGGCTAAGTTACAAAAAAACACCAGGCAAGGATGGGCCAAATGTGGTGGATGTTAAAGGGTTAAGGTCACTAATGGAAGCGTGTCTTTCCCCTTCATCACCGCAACACATTTGTTCTTGTTATAGTGAACCAGACCATCAGGGGTGAAGTTTACAGGAGTGAAGACTGATTGGCTTCAGTTCTAGTTTATAGTAGTACACTAAAAACATGATACAAATAAACAACAACAGTTTGAGTATGATATTCGGGCAGATATTCCGTGGGGCAACAGGGGCCCAGATGGTACAGCATTGGTCTCCAGGCCTGACAGTCGTGGGAACAGTCGTGGGTTTTGAGCACGTCTATAGTGGACATTAGATCCAATCCCAATGGCCTCATCAGTCGACCTTAAAGTAGTACTAGAATTCCACGACATCTGCGCAAACTGCTCCCCCCTGACCACCCCCGGACCCCCACCACAGCAGGGAGCACTGGGAGGGGCTGCTTCAGATGAGCCCAGAGCACTTTTGACAAATGATGATTTATGCTGGGTTGTGTTTTGGTTTCCGTGACGTATTGCCAAGAAGCAGAAGGACTGGAGTAGATCAGAGGTGGAGAATGTACTACCAAAAAGGGTTCCAAATGGACCTCAGTGCGGTTGGCTTCTAGATAGACGGATACATACATAGATACTTTATTGATCCCTGTAGGAGAAATTCAGGTGTCCAATAGCAGCAGAAAAAAATAAATAAATTGATCATTCTAAAAAGTTAAAAATAGTAATAATCAGTAGCAGCCCTTCAGGTCACAGCAGCAGAGGTGGAGTAGCCTCTGGGTGGAGCAGGACAGGTCACAGCAGCAGAGGTGGAGTAGCCTCTGGGTGGAGCAGGACGGGTCACAGCAGCAGAGGTGGAGTAGCCTCTGGGTGGAGCAGGACAGGTCACAGCAGCAGAGGTGGAGTAGCCTCTGGGTGGAGCAGGACGGGTCACAGCAGCAGAGGTGGAGTAGCCTCTGGGTGGAGCAGGACAGGTCAGGGCAGCAGAGGTGAAGTAGCCTCTGGGTGGAGCAGGACAGGCCACAGCAGCAGAGGTGGAGTAGCCTCTGGGTGGAGCAGGACGGGTCACAGCAGCAGAGGTGGAGTAGCCTCTGGGTGGAGCAGGACGGGTCACAGCAGCAGAGGTGGAGTAGCCTCTGGGTGGAGCAGGACGGGTCACAGCAGCAGAGGTGGAGTAGCCTCTGGGTGGAGCAGGACAGGTCACAGCAGCAGAGGTGGAGTAGCCTCTGGGTGGAGCAGGACGGGTCACAGCAGCAGAGGTGGAGTAGCCTCTGGGTGGAGCAGGACGGGTCACAGCAGCAGAGGTGGAGTAGCCTCTTGGTTCAGACCATTTTCTCTGCTCTGGTCCAAAGTAAAATGCTAAATGCTTCATTAGCATTTTTCATAAAGTTAGCATTCCTCCAGTGGATTTTCACCTGATCCACTTGGTTTGGACCATGAATCCTCTCTGCTCTGGTCTGGACCAGTGTAAAACCATGAATCCTCTCTGCTCTGGTCTGGACCAGTGTAAAACCATGAATCCTCTCTGCTCTGGTCTGGACCAGTGTAAAACCATGAATCCTCTCTGCTCTGGTCTGGACCAGTGTAAAACCATGAATCCTCTCTGCTCTGGTCTGGACCAGTGTAAAACCATGAATCCTCTCTGCTCTGGTCTGGACCAGTGTAAAACCATGAACACTGAACTGCAGCAACATCTCAGGTAGAAAAAAGCAATAAAAATAAAAGTTCAAAAGCACAAAACAACGGTTTCAGAGCTACTTAAGACTTTCTGCCGTTTTCCAGAGCATTCCAAAGTAAACACTAGTGTGAATGTCACAGTTTTATCGAACAGAGAAAGGTCTAGCTTATTTGTTTAGCACATGTCAAACAATACTGCACTTGATATGCTTAGCAAAACTAGTGATAAGACTTTATTGCAGTAGTTTCTCAACTGGAATTATCGCAACTAACCTGCCCAGCTGCGACCCAAATAAGAACTGAATTCACGCAGTTTAGCGTCTAACCAAAAATATGAATAATATTTACAACACAGATACATTTATATTTGTCGAACTGTAGGAGAGCTGCTAATGTTTACAATACTTACATTAAGACCCTGCAAACCTCTGGATTTGGTCTTCTGTATGTAGTCTTTGAACCGGTCAAATATTGTGGATCATACAACAAAATAATCCATGTCAGATATACCCACATCCTGGATAATAAGATAAGTTCATGTTTGACTGGAGCTGGGGTCAGGGGGGAGGTGATCACGTGTGGCCTTACAAAGCCTCTGTCTGCAGGGCAAAGCGTGGAGCTGGACTCACGGTGCAGGCATGCGTGGCAACACAGGCTTTTACCGTTTCATTCTGCGTCACGCTGTCCACGCACTATTCACTCCTCACTCCTACTTTCTATCTCGCTTTGAACTTCATACAATATTATGTTCTTATGTCGGGCTCAAGGGGGGGTAAAAAAGGTTTCTTGGTCTGCTGGAGTCTATAGAGTCAGCAACATGAGTCATACAGACAACGACACATGTAAAAAATGAGTGGTTTTGGATTAAAATGCAAGGACATAATGTACATGGTTAAACATCGGGACTCACAGTCAATCAGATCAAATGTTATTCTGCCATTATAAAGACAGAGGAGAGGCATGAAGCTGCAGTGTATATTTGATTTAAAAACATGTGTCTAAAAGCTTTAAACATGTGTCTAAAAGCTTTAAACGTGTGTCTAAAAGCTTTAAACGTGTGTCTAAAAGCTTTAAACGTGTGTCTAAAAGCTGACAAAGGAGAGGTCTGAGCCACTTTTTCAGATACAACATAAGTCCTTTATAGTTTCATGTGGTACAAGTAAATGCCTCTCATCAGTGAGTAGCTCCAATCTGCTTTTACTGAATGCATGTTTTTGGTTCTTTCATGTCCAGAAAACTTTTGTCCATTTGGATGTTAAGACGAAACATATACAGTGCCTTGCGAAAGTATTCGGCCCCCTTGAACCTTTCAACATTTTGCCACATTTCAGGCTTCAAACATAAAGATATAAAAATTAAATTTTTTGTCAAGAATCAACAACAAGTGGGACACAATCGTGAAGTGGAACGAAATTTATTGGATAATTTAAACTTTTTTAACAAATAAAAAACTGAAAAGTGGGGCGTGCAATATTATTCGGCCCCCTTGCGCTAACACTTTGTAGCGCCACCTTTTGCTGCAATTACAGCTGCAAGTCGCTTGGGGTATGTCTCTATCAGTTTTGCACATCGAGAGACTGGAATTCTTTCCCATTCTTCCTTGAAAAACAGCTCGAGCTCAGTGAGGTTGGATGGAGAGCGTTTGTGAACAGCAGTCTTCAGCTCTTTCCACAGATTCTCGAATGGATTCAGGTCTGGACTTTGACTTGGCCATTCTAACACCTGGATACGTCTATTTGTGAACCATTCCATTGTAGATTTGGCTTTATGTTTTGGATCATTGTCCTGTTGGAAGATAAATCTCCGTCCCAGTCTCAGGTCTTTTGCAGACTCCAACAGGTTTTCTTCCAGAATGGTCCTGTATTTGGCTCCATCCATCTTCCCATCAATTTTAGCCATCTTCCCTGTCCCTGCTGAAGAAAAGCAGGCCCAAAGCATGATGCTGCCACCACCATGTTTGACAGTGGGGATGGTGTGTTCAGGGTGATGAGCTGTGTTGCTTTTACGGCAAACATATCGTTTTGCATTGTGGCCAAAAAGTTCGATTTTGGTTTCATCTGACCAGAGCACCTTCTTCCACATGTTTGGTGTGTCTCCCAGGTGGCTTGTGGCAAACTTTAAACAAGACTTTTTATGGATATCTTTGATAAATGGCTTTCTTCTTGTCACTCTTCCATAAAGGCCAGATTTGTGCAGTGCACGACTGATTGTTGTCCTATGGACAGACTCTCCCACCTCAGCTGTAGTTATCTGCAGTTCATCCAGAGTGATCATGGGCCTCTTGGCTGCATCTCTGATCAGTCTTCTCCTTGTTTGAGATGAAAGTTTGGAGGGACGGCCGGGTCTTGGTAGATTTGCAGTGGTCTGATACTCCTTCCATTTCAATATAATTGCTTGCACAGTGCTCCTTGAGATGTTTAAAGCTTGGGAAATCTTTTTGTATCCAAATCCAGCTTTAAACTTCTCCACAACAGTATCTCGGACCTGCCTGGTGTGTTCCTTTGTCTTCATGGTTCTCTCTGTGCTTTAAACAGAACCCTGAGACTATCAAAGAGCAGGTGCATTTATACGGAGACTCGATTACACACAGGTGCATTCTATTTATCATCATCAGTCATTTAGGACAACATTGGATCATTCAAAGATCCTCACTGAACTTCTGGACTGAGTTTGCTGCACTGAAAGTAAAGGGGCCGAATAATATTGCACGCCCCAATTTTCAGTTTTTTATTTGTTAAAAAAGTTTAAATTATCCAATAAATTTCGTTCCACTTCACGATTGTGTCCCACTTGTTGTTGATTCATGACAAAAAATTAAAATTTTATATCTTTATGTTTGAAGCCTGAAATCTGGCGAAATGTTGAAAGGTTCAAGGGGGCCGAATACTTTAGCATATATATATATATATAAAACATATATATTTTTGACTCAGACACTACCTTCACTACAGCTAAAGGCCAGCAACACGGAAGCCTCCTGCTATTTTTCTTCCTTAATAAACAGCCTTTTCCATCCAATTCTATACAATACTTGACTGAAAAAAACAGAATGGAAAGTGCCTATTTTTTACTTCCGGGTGAATCATCAAGACTGGTTCCTTCTGGTGATACGTGCTCATCAAATAAGACCTACAGAGTTTAGTTCGAAAAGTGGAAAGGGTGGTTCCTAAAATCCTCCTTGATACTCTGAACAAACGATTTGTGGAGCAGAGACATGTCATAAAACACAAAATCTAGACCATTGCATCCCACACTTCAGAAATCCGGGCCATACAAACATGAACAATTGTAGGTCACCTCAAAAAGCTTCTTTAAAGAGAAACTTTTTGAATCGATTGCTTAAATGCGACACAACACCCTTTATACGAGAAGAATAAAGGGTAAATTCCTCTAATATCATATTCATATTCTCTGCTGCTAAAGTACAATATAAACATCTGTAAATACCTCACGGTGCTGCTGACTACAGTTAGCATAATAATAATAATAATAATAATAAGCGCTTTTCAAGAACTCAAAGACGCTTCACAAATTCATGACACACACACACGTTTAGACAGAGTTTCTGAGATGGAGGGAGAGGGTTTCTGAGATGGAGGGGGAGAGAGTTTCTGAGATGGAGGGAGAGAGTTTCTGAGATGGAGGGGGAGAGAGTTTCTGAGATGGAGGGAGAGGGTTTCTGAGATGGAGGGGGAGAGAGTTTCTGAGATGGAGGGGGAGAGAGTTTCTGAGATGGAGGGGGAGAGAGTTTCTGAGATGGAGGGAGAGGGTTTCTGAGATGGAGGGGGAGAGAGTTTCTGAGATGGAGGGAGAGGGTTTCTGAGATGGAGGGGGAGAGAGTTTCTGAGATGGAGGGGGAGAGAGTTTCTGAGATGGAGGGAGAGAGTTTCTGAGATGGAGGGGGAGAGAGTTTCTGAGATGGAGGGAGAGGGTTTCTGAGATGGAGGGGGAGAGAGTTTCTGAGATGGAGGGGGAGAGAGTTTCTGAGATGGAGGGAGAGAGTTTCTGAGATGGAGGGGGAGAGAGTTTCTGAGATGGAGGGGGAGAGAGTTTCTGAGATGGAGGGGGAAAGAGTTTCTGAGATGGAGGGGGAGAGAGTTCCAGAGATGAAGGAGGAGAGAGTTTCTGAGATGGAGGGGGAGAGAGTTCCAGAGATGGAGGGGGAGAGAGTTCCAGAGATGAAGGAGGAGAGAGTTTCTGAGATGAAGGAGGAGAGAGTTCCAGAGATGGAGGGGGAGAGTTCCTGAGATGGAGGGGGAGAGTTCCTGAGATGGAGGGGGAGAGAGTTCCAGAGATGGAGGGGGAGAGAGTTTCTGAGATGGAGGGGGAGAGAGGTTTCTGAGATGGAGGGGGAGAGTTCCTGAGATGGAGGGGGAGAGTTCCTGAGATGGAGGGAGAGAGAGTTCCTGAGATGGAGGGGGAGAGAGTTCCAGAGATGGAGGGGGAGAGAGTTTCTGAGATGGAGGGGGAGAGAGTTTCTGAGATGGAGGGGGAGAGTTCCTGAGATGGAGGGGGAGAGAGTTCCAGAGATGAAGGGGGAGAGAGTTCCTGAGAAGGAGGGGGAGAGAGTTTCTGAGATGGAGGGGGAGAGAGTTCCAGAGATGAAGGGGGAGAGAGTTCCTGAGAAGGAGGGGGAGAGTTCCTGAGATGAAGAGGGAGAGAGTTCCTGAGATGGAGGGGGAGAGAGTTCCTTAGATGGAGGGGGAGAGAGTTCCAGAGATGGAGGGGGAGAGAGTTTCTGAGATGGAGGGGGAGAGAGTTTCTGAGATGGAGGGGGAAAGAGTTTCTGAGATGGAGGGGGAAAGAGTTTCTGAGATGGAGGGGGAGAGAGTTCCTTAGATGGAGGGGGAGAGAGTTCCAGAGATGGAGGGGGAGAGAGTTTCTGAGATGGAGGGGGAGAGAGTTTCTGAGATGGAGGGGGAAAGAGTTTCTGAGATGGAGGGGGAAAGAGTTTCTGAGATGGAGGGGGAGAGAGTTTCTGAGATGGAGGGGGAGAGAGTTCCAGAGAGTGGGAGCAGAGATGGCGAAAGCTCGGTCCCCCAAGGTTCGGTGCTTGGATTTGACAGTGGGAGTGAGGAGTCTGCAGATCGGAGTGGGTGGCAGGGGCTGTAGGGCTGTAGAAGTTCAGTGAGGTCTGGAGGAGGAGGTCATGGAGGGGCTGTAGGGCTGTAGAAGTTCAGTGAGGTCTGGAGGAGGAGGTCATGGAGGGGCTGTAGGGCTGTAGAAGTTCAGTGAGGTCTGGAGGAGGAGGTCATGGAGGGACTGTAGGGCTGTAGAAGTTCAGTGAGGTCTGGAGGAGGAGGTCATGGAGGGACTGTAGGGCTGTAGAAGTTCAGTGAGGTCTGGAGGAGGAGGTCATGGAGGGGCTGTAGGGCTGTAGAAGTTCAATGAGGTCTGGAGGAGGAGGTCATGGAGGGGCTGTAGGGCTGTAGAAGTTCAGTGAGGTCTGGAGGAGGAGGTCATGGAGGGGCTGTAGGGCTGTAGAAGTTCAGTGAGGTCTGGAGGAGGAGGTCATGGAGGGGCTGTAGGGCTGTAGAAGTTCAGTGAGGTCTGGAGGAGGAGGTCATGGAGGGCTTTGTAGGTGAGGAGGAGGATTTTGAAGTGGATGCTGTTTGATTGGAGCCAGTGGAGTTTATGGAGGACGGGGGTGATGTGTTCTCTGGGTCTGAGTGAGGAGGCGGGCGGCCGAGTTTTGGACATATTGTAGTTGTTGGAGATCAGATGAAGGAAGGCCGTATGAAAGACTGTTGCAGAAGTGGAGTCTGGAGGATATGAAAGCATGGATCAGGGTTTCAGCAGAGGTGGAGACAGATATGGGCGAAGACGGGAAATGTTTTTAAGATGAAAGAAGGCAGTTTTGGTGACGTTGCGGATGTGGGGCTTGAAAGAAAGGGTGGGGTCAGGGGTGATTCCGAGGTGTAGTGCACTTATTCATGAACCGAGAGCAATGACAGCTCCAGAGATTTATTTTAATATTTTTATTGCTTCTTAAATGCATTTAGTTTTTCTCAGTCGCTTTGGTGCATTTTTTCACATCAGACTTAAACTTCTTAAAACTATTAGTTCATTGACTTACATTGAGTCATGTGTGACATCATCGCAGCAGTTTCTCCTTTGAACACTTCACAAATGCTTTTGTTCAGTTACTTTCATACTAACTCTTCTGTTTTATAACATTACACTGGGTAACTAAAAAATATTTGTTGAAAATAGTCCAGGGTTTTCAGCTGAATTAGACTAATGTTGATGCTCTGAGTCCGAAAATGACCTTGGTTTTGCTCAATCAGGATTTTTTGCTACAGAAATATTTTTTTAAATCGATTTTGCGTAAAAAACTAATTTCTGCGGATCATCAGCTGAGAAACCCTTGACGTTTTTTCCGTTTTCCTCAAGAAATAAAAGTCAACGTATCCAAAGTCATTCAGTTTTTATTTACTCCATCAAATTTGATAAGCAGAATTCATAATATGAGTAAAACAATGAGCGTTACGTGACACAACATTTTAGAGTTCACGGCATAAATCGGCGTTTCTTTGATTCCCGTGTGTGAGCAGCTGCTGGGTTGTCTCTCTTCAGCGACCAGCAGTAGTCCGCCTTCATGACCCACCTTCCCTGGTACCTCTCCTCCATGTGGCACATGTCCTGATGGAACCTTTCTCCCTGCTCGTCACTCATCGCCCCAAGGTTTTCAGGAAACTTCTCTCTGCAAACTTAGTGATTGGGTGCCCTCTTTAAGTTATTTTTCCCGGGTGTCTGGACAGGGAGGCTATAAATAGGGAGTATCTTGTTGTGTAGCAAATTTATGTTTTTTGTTTAATTTGTACCCTCTATGATTTAACTGGATTAGTTTGTTTATAATAAAATATCTCCTCGTTGCTACGGATTTGTTATTGAAACTCTCGCACAAACCACACACGTAAAACGTAGACGTACGTAATCCGTAACACTATGGCTGTATCTCACAAAGTTGACCTGATAGAGACAAATGCATGTGATATTCGGACTCAGAACACCAACATTAGTCTGAATCAGTTGAGAAACCCCTGACCATTTTTTGGCTGTCAACTTGTGTTATACATTTGCTTCTGTCCAGTCAGAATGAAACATATTAATGACTTCTGAAAAGTCATTCCCTATTTTTGAGTTTCATTAACCTGTAGGTTACATTAATGAATGTAGGGCCAGGTTAATTTTGATGACAAAGACACTTTTATTGACATCAATACTTGCTTTTGAGGAATTCACTTTTCATTTTGAGAAAGTGACGCACTTTTGCTGGTTTTCCATGAGGCAGATTGTACTAATGGTTCTGAGAAAGGCACTAACTGTTGTGCAAACGTGAAGAGTGTGAAGAGCACCAAAGCGAATCCAAGTAACTAGTTCCTTTATCTTCAAACGGTTTGGTTTTTTCACATGTATGTATTTGACCCGCTTTAAAGTCTCATCATTAAGATCACCCCATATAAGCGTGTTGTCGTGCACACAGGTGAAGGAGCTGACGCAGCCTCCTGTGAAACGGCCGCAGTGACAGAAGCCCATATTTGCTGCATATCCAGTCAACTGTGCGCTTCAAAGCTTTTTATGATGGCTTTGTTTAGTAACCAGATCTGGCATCCTGGTGTGTGTTGACCCATTACGGAGGCATTGTTCAGCCGTGATAATGCCGACATGAAAGAGACACACGCACGTGCAGGATAACAGGAAAGTCTGTATAAAAGGCGCACTCAGAAATGGATTATGGAGGCGTATAAATGGGCGGGACAATGTGGCTATTTCTCAGAATCAGAAAAATGTATTGGTCCCAGAGAGAAATTCACTTCAACCCTTTAATGTTGAAATGGATTGAAGATAGATTTGTTTTTCTGTTTTGGTTTTTCTAAAATGTAGGAGGAGAAATGATTTGTTATTATTGGCCTTTTCCAAATGGTTGAGATGCAGTTTGATGGTAAAAGTGCCTAAAACCAAGTAAGATGCCCCATGAGGTATATTTCAGTTCCAAGCATGTTTCAAGTAGATATTGTGAATCAAAAGGTGATCTGCCAAATGGTTATCACTCTGAGGAGCACAGGGACTGGACTCCTGCTGGGACTCTGAGGAGCACAGGGACTGGACTCCTGCTGGGACTCTGAGGAGCACAGGGACTGGACTCCTGCTGGGACTCTGAGGAGCACAGGGACTGGCCTCCTGCTGGGACTCTGAGGAGCACAGGGACTGGACTCCTACTGGGACTCTGAGGAGCACAGGGACTGGACTCCTGCTGGGACTCTGAGGAGCACAGGGACTGGACTCCTGCTGGGACTCTGAGGAGCACAGGGACTAGACTCCTGCTGGGACTCTGAGGAGCACAGGGACTGGACTCCTGCTGGGACTCTGAGGAGCACAGGGACTGGACTCCTGCTGGGACTCTGAGGAGCACAGGGACTGGACTCCTGCTGGGACTCTGAGGAGCACAGGGACTGGCCTCCTGCTGGGACTCTGAGGAGCACAGGGACTGGACTCCTACTGGGACTCTGAGGAGCACAGGGACTGGACTCCTGCTGGGACTCTGAGGAGCACAGGGACTGGACTCCTGCTGGGACTCTGAGGAGCACAGGGACTGGACTCCTGCTGGGACTCTGAGGAGCACAGGGACTGGACTCCTGCTGGGACTCTGAGGAGCACAGGGACTGGCCTCCTGCTGGGACTCTGAGGAGCACAGGGACTGGACTCCTACTGGGACTCTGAGGAGCACAGGGACTGGACTCCTGCTGGGACTCTGAGGAGCACAGGGACTGGACTCCTGCTGGGACTCTGAGGAGCACAGGGACTGGACTCCTGCTGGGACTCTGAGGAGCACAGGGACTGGACTCCTGCTGGGACTCTGAGGAGCACAGGGACTGGACTCCTGCTGGGACTCTGAGGAGCACAGGGACTGGACTCCTGCTGGGACTCTGAGGAGCACAGGGACTGGCCTCCTGCTGGGACTCTGAGGAGCACAGGGACTGGACTCCTACTGGGACTCTGAGGAGCACAGGGACTGGACTCCTGCTGGGACTCTGAGGAGCACAGGGACTGGCCTCCTGCTGGGACTGTGAGGAGCACAGGGACTGGACTCCTGCTGGGACTCTGAGGAGCACAGGGACTGGACTCCTGCTGGGACTCTGAGGAGCACAGGGACTGGACTCCTGCTGGGACTCTGAGGAGCACAGGGACTGGACTCCTGCTGGGACTCTGAGGAGCACAGGGACTGGACTCCTGCTGGGACTCTGAGGAGCACAGGGACGGACTCTGCTGGGACTCTGAGGAGCACAGGGACTGGACTCCTGCTGGGACTCTGAGGAGCACAGGGACGGGACTCCTGCTGGGACTCTGAGGAGCACAGGGACTGGACTCCTGCTGGGACTCTGAGGAGCACAGGGACTGGACTCCTGTTAGTGCCCAGAGTCAGAACTAAACATGGGGAGGCCGCATTTCAGATTCATGCTACTAAAATCTGGAACAATCTTCCTGAAGATGTGAGACAGGCCTCCTCTCTGACAATGTTTAAAACCAGGTTAAGACAAGATAAGAGTTCCTTTATTCGTCCGCAGAGGGGAAATTCCCATGTTGCAGCGCACAGACAGGACAGTAGTAAGAGCACACAGGGAGCACACACAATATACAGAATAAGTAGTAGCTGTGTTTCTTAGCTAACATAACAAGCTGTAGATGCTGGAAATGCTTCACTTCACTTGTCTTTACAAAAACATCAGAATACTTTAGGGATTGTAGAAATATGAAGAGCCTCTCCTCTTCCTGTGAAAGCTCCTGCTCCTCGCACAGAGATCGGAGGGTTCTGAGTCTGATCCAGATTCAGATTCAGTTTATTTGCCATTTGCAGTAAAGAAAAACACATTGGAATACATTAGCAAAAGTCTCCAGTGTGCACAGACAAATACAGACATAAAACAACATTAAAAGACAGAAATAAAACAAATAAAACAGTAAACAAATGTCACTGTGAAATGGATCGACTAAAACAGTTTCAAAACAAATCATTAAAGTGCTCTGTTCACACTGATAACAGCCTGTGGATAAAAACTGTTAGCGTAACGAGATGTCCTGCATCTCCGAGAGCGATATCTTCTGCCAGAGGGAAGAAGCTGGAACATGGCTTTCCCAGGGTGGCCAGAAGAGTCATTAACAATCCTAAGAGCTTTGTTTAAAAGTCTGGATTTATAAAGAACCTCCAGAACAGGAAGCTCACAGCCCACGGTCCTCTCTCTGGTCTCTCTCTGGTCTCTCTCTGGTCTCTCTCTGGTCTCTCTCTGGTCTCTCTGGTCTCTCTGGTCTCCCTCTGGTCTCTCTGGTCTCTCTCTGGTCTCTCTCTGGTCTCTCTCTGGTCTCTATGGTCTCTCTCTGGTCTCTCTCTGGTCTCTCTCTGGTCTCTCTCTGGTCTCTCTGGTCTCTCTCTGGTCTCTCTCTGGTCTCTCTCTGGTCTCTCTCTGGTCTCTCTCTGGTCTCTCTGGTCTCTCTGGTCTCTCTCTGGTCTCTCTGGTCTCTCTCTGGTCTCTCTGGTCTCTCTCTGGTCTCTCTCTGGTCTCTCTCTGGTCTCTCTGGTCTCTCTCTGGTCTCTCTCTGGTCTCTCTGGTCTCTCTCTGGTCTCTATGGTCTCTCTCTGGTCTCTCTCTGGTCTCTCTCTGGTCTCTCTGGTCTCTCTCTGGTCTCTCTCTGGTCTCCCTCTTGTCTCTCTGGTCTCTCTCTGGTCTCTCTCTGGTCTCTCTCTCTCTGGTCTCTCTCTGGTCTCTATGGTCTCTCTCTGGTCTCTCTCTGGTCTCTCTCTGGTCTCACAGCCCACGGTCCTCTTTGCAGAGCGGAGCACCTTGTTTAAAGCTCTCTTTTCTTTATCTGTGATGTTTCCAAACCACACAGACACAGAACCAACAACTCTCAATGGTGCAGCGATAAAAGTTAAGCACAATCTTAGAGTTAGTGGTAAATTCTCTAAGATCCCTATGGAGAAAGTTTTTACAATACTTCAACATCAGTTCATTAAACCAGCAGGTGGACAAAAAAGTGAGAAGGCTTTCCACAAAAGAACAGTAAGAGTTCTAGTATTTGGGTAATGCACGTATCTGAAATGATTACAGTGCTGTATGCTGTACGCCCAGGCTAATGTTTTGTTGTCAAATATATATTTGTGTTGTTGTTTTCAAACTACTTACATAATGGCGTCGTTGGCTTCGTGAAAGAATCTGCTCTGAATCTTGGTTGTTCTGGTCGTGTTGCAGCTTTGACGTGGAGAATGGCCCGTCGGCGAGCTGCAGCCCTCTGGACCCCCAGGCCTCCCCCGGCTCGGGCCTGGTGCTCCACACGAACTTCCCTGGACACAACCAGCGGCGAGAGTCCTTCCTGTACCGCTCCGACAGCGACTACGATCTGTCGCCCAAGTCCATGTCCAGGAACTCCTCCATCGCATCCGAACTGTGAGTACATGCTCTGCACCAGGGGTCTCCAATCTTCAATCGGAGAGCTACTTTTATACAACAGAAGAGGCAGAGAGCTACTTCTTTATTGCACTCGTCATAAAATATCTATGTAATGATTATGACAAGAGCAAACACACATGGAGAAGTATTTATTTTTACTCATAGATATAGATACTAATGTAGCAACTCAAAATGTATTCATTCAGGACCATGTGTTCAGTTCTAAATCCTTTGGGGAGCTACCTAAAAGAGGCTGGTGAGCTACTGGTGGCTCCTGAGCTATAGGTTGGAGACCCCTGCTCTACACGTTCATGAATATGTTTGAAGTGGGTAGGCAGGCCTCTGAATTCATCAATCCAAGTTTTAAGTGATTAGCCTTTGGGGTGATAGAAAATAAGATAAGATTAGACAGACTTTATTGTTAGCGTAACGAGATGTCCTGCATCTCAGAGAGCGATATCTTCTGCCAGAGGGAAGAAGCTGGAACATGGCTTTCCCAGGGTGGCCAGAAGAGTCATTGACAATCCTAAGAGCTTTGTTTAAAAGTCTGGATTTATAAAGAACCTCCAGAACAGGAAGCTCACAGCCCACGGTCCTCTCTCTGGTCTCTCTCTGGTCTCTCTGGTCTCTCTGGTCTCTCTCTGGTCTCTCTGGTCTCTCTCTGGTCTCTCTCTGGTCTCTCTGGTCTCTCTCTGGTCTCTCTCTGGTCTCTATGGTCTCTCTCTGGTCTCTCTGGTCTCTCTCTGGTCTCTCTGGTCTCTATGGTCTCTCTCTGGTCTCTCTCTGGTCTCTATGGTCTCTCTCTGGTCTCTCTCTGGTCTCTCTGGTCGCTCTCTGGTCTCTCTCTGGTCTCTATGGTCTCTCTCTGGTCTCTCTCTGGTCTCTCTGGTCTCTCTCTGGTCTCCCTTTGGTCTCTATGGTCTCTCTCTGGTCTCCCTCTGGTCTCTATGGTCTCCCTCTGGTCTCTATGGTCTCTCTCTGGTCTCTCTCTGGTCTCTCTGGTCTCTCTCTGGTCTCTCTGGTCTCTCTCTGGTCTCTCTCTGGTCTCTCTCTGGTCTCTCTCTGGTCTCTCTCTGGTCTCTCTCTGGTCTCTCTCTGGTCTCTCTCTGGTCTCTCTGGTCTCTCTCTGGTCTCTCTCTGGTCTCTCTGGTCTCTCTCTGGTCTCTCTCTGGTCTCCCTCTGGTCTCTATGGTCATGAATATGTTTGAAGTGGGTAGGCAGGCCTCTGAATTCATCAATCCAAGTTTTAAGTGATTAGCCTTTGGGGTGTTGGGGTAAGATAAGATTAGACAGACTTTATTGATCTCACAAAGGAGAAATGTACATGTCACATCTGGCACGGATAGAAACACTTAAGATTGTGCAGAATATATTATGTATAATTAAAAGTGTCAATCAGAAACAGGGTCCAGAGTAGTGCAGGTTTTTCAGTCTTAATGCAGTGACTTAAATATTGATTGAATGAATGAATGAAACTTCCCAATGTGAGGTTTCGCTGATTTATCGCTATTTGTCATCCCACAATTCAAGTATTGATTAAAAATATATAATGTTTTGTCTGAGCCCACATGATTAATGCAGTCTGTCTTTATCGATTTTTTATTATATTTTCCAAAATCTCAATATTCATTTAAATAGACAAATATCTGTTAATTTCCTCCTTTTATGTTGAATGTGGCTCAGTTGGTAGAGCATTGGCCTTTGAGCCTGAAGGTTGTGGGTTCGAGCCCACCGTAAGACCTACTTCACGACTCCCACTGATGACTGCTGTCGGTGTGTCCTTGGGCAAGACACTTAACCCCACTTTGCCTGAAGCCCCCACTGAAAGATCTCAGCTCCTGTGGACTCAGCAGCTGCAGGAGGATCAGTGAGGGGCTGGTGCTCTGTGGACTGACTGCCACCCTCCCCCGACCCAGAAATGGATTAAGGGGAAGAAAATGGATGGATGTTGAATGTGTTTGGTGATTTCTCTTAAAATCTGTTGAGACAAATTTGCATAAAAGGACTGGTAATTACAGTTTTTCTCAGTGTCTTTGGTGCATTTCTCAGACTTAAACTTCTCATAACTATAAGTTCAACCTCCACATTGAGTCATGTGTGACATCATCGCAGCAGTTTCTCCTTTGAACACTTTACAAATGCTTTTGTTCATGTATCAGTTACTTTCATACATTTATCTGCTGTTTTAGAACAGCATCATTTGCTTCTGTCAGAATGAAACATACTTATCACTTCTGAATACACTGCAAAAAATGATGGAATTAAAGACAAAAAATACTCAAATTTTGCTGAATGTTTCTAAATATGAGCACATTTTGACTGCCTTAAAACAAGATTTGCCAGTGGAACAAGAAAAAAGATATTGTTTTAAAAAGATACAAGACATTTCTCTCTTGGAATGAGAAAATAAAGCAATAGTTCTTGAGTCAAGTCAAAATTGCTTGTCTCATTGGCAAATCTCGTTTTAAGACAGTCAGAAAGAACTTAAATTAAGATAAAAACAACTCAATTCAAGCAATTATTATCTCATATTTGATCATTTTTTGCAGTGTACTCTTTCCCTGTAAAACCAATAGTCCTCATTTCATCGCTTTTGTCTAGTTCAAAATCTAAATCTATCAAACTAATTTCCTACATTCCTTTATCATTTTTTTTTTCCTGAAAATCTCTTTTTAATTGAACAATTTCAGCTTTCACTCATGACGCCTAAAGGAGATACTTACCTGGCTGCCTTCAAGGGAAGACCTCTGCTGTGATGAAGATATGTGTCCAGACAGACAGGAAGACGAGAAGGTCCAGGAATCATTTATGTGCAGTTTACAGTGACGCACTTTTGTACTAATTGTTCTGAGAAGTGCGAATGTGAAGAGTATTGTGAGAAATGCACCAAAGCGACTGAGAAAAACTGTATTTAAGTAGAAAGTGGTTAGCCATGCTTAAGTTTGAAGAGTCGTACTAACATGTGCTCCTTCTTTTCAGACATGGCGATGACTTGATAGTAACTCCATTTGCTCAGGTACTTATTGTATTCAGTTATTTGTGTTGTGTTGTGTTGCAAAATATTGGACCATATTGCTTCTTAAAAAACTATGGCAATAAGTAATCACATTGGCCCTCATTTATGAAACCTGCGCAGAAAAGGCTGTATATTTTTGGTGTAGATTCCATATACGCAAGAAAGTATGTGTATGAGAAGCTTTTGGGAAGTGTCCATGATCTCACAGAGGAACCCTGGATCCAAAACGTTTCAATGAGTAAGCGGAGGGACTTCTTATGGCGCCCGCTGTGCACTGCCCAAGAGAGCTCTACCCACGAGAGCACTGCCCAAGAGAGCACTGCCCAAGAGAGCACTGCCCAAGAGAGCTCTACCCACGAGAGCACTGCCCAAGAGAGCACTGCCCAAGAGAGCACTGCCCAAGAGAGCACTGCCCACGAGAGCACTGCCCACGAGAGCACTGCCCAAGAGAGCACTGCCCAAGAGAGCTCTGCCCAAGAGAGCTCTACCCACGAGAGCACTGCCCAAGAGAGCACTGCCCAAGAGAGCTCTACCCAAGAGAGCTCTACCCACGAGAGCACTGCCCAAGAGAGCACTGCCCAAGAGAGCACTGCCCAAGAGAGCACTGCCCAAGAGAGCACTGCCCACGAGAGCACTGCCCAAGAGAGCACTGCCCAAGAGAGCACTGCCCAAGAGAGCACTGCCCAAGAGAGCACTGCCCAAGAGAGCACTGCCCAAGAGAGCACTGCCCAAGAGAGCACTGCCCAAGAGAGCACTGCCCAAGAGAGCACTGCCCACGAGAGCACTGCCCAAGAGAGCACTGCCCAAGAGAGCACTGCCCAAGAGAGCACTACCCAAGAGACCGTTCTCACAGATAGGGCAGTGGCTGAGGCAGTTAGAGACCATTGTTTATGGGGCAAGTGAGATGAATGAGCAAAACCAATAGCCATGCAGCAAACGGTCTGCCACAGATTTACAGAGAAATAGATGGTCACACATTAAGTTAGTAAGACAAGTGTTTTTGTAGAGCGCCTTTCACAGACCAGGATCACAAAGCACTTCACATTTAAAAAACATACAGATTAAAATAACACACATACAAGTCAGATTTAAAGACGAAGAAACAGAAGAAAGTCCTCCTCATGAACGTAGCAGGAAGTGTGAGTTATTCGATTAGACTTTTTGCATGAAGCTCAATGAAAACGCAGCTTATATATTTGTCAGAGTGGGAACATGTTTATTGTTGTCCAAATCTTGTATTTCATGCATGTTTTGGCGTGTTGTGATGAAGGTTGAGATGAGCGTAGACATTTACACAACCTCCAGACTTGGTGTATATTCAGTGCGTACCGTTCGCTCACGTCCAGATTGATAAATGCCAAAAAGTGTGCATTTTTTCCCTGATTTGGCCTTACGCAAGTTTCATAAATGAGAGCCAATGAAACTACTTATAAGCCTCACAAACATTTACAAACTTGCAGCAATATCCAAGTTTAGTAAAAGGCCTGGGATGAAAAAAGAAACAGCCAGAACTACTTCATATTTAGACGTAGAACCAAAACATATTGATATCTCCACGTTTGCACTTCAGCAGTGGTGAGTTCAGGTGGTTAGACAAGAGCATGAGGGGTTTTACAGCCTTAAAACTCTGCTGAAAACATGTTCCGGTTTTAGACGATAACCCCGAGATAAACAAGAGACCACTGTATTGTGTTGTGCTGCTGTTGTCAGAATGTACGACCACATTAGTCCAGTCCTCAGGTCTCTGCACTGGCTTCCTGTGGCTCAGAGAATAGACTTTAAAACAGCTCTGCTTGTTACAAGTCTCTCCATGGCCTCGCACCAAAATATATTAGTGACATGTTAGTCCCATATGAACCAGCCCGGACTCTGAGGAGCACAGGGACTGGACTGCTGCTGGGACTCTGAGGAGCACAGGGACTGGACTGCTGCTGGGACTCTGAGGAGCACAGGGACTGGACTCCTGCTGGGACTCTGAGGAGCACAGGGACTGGACTCCTGCTGGGACTCTGAGGAGCACAGGGACTGGACTCCTGCTGGGACTCTGAGGAGCACAGGGACTGGACTCCTGCTGGGACTCTGAGGAACACAGGGACTAGACTCCTGCTGGGACTCTGAGGAGCACAGGGACTGGACTCCTGCTGGGACTCTGAGGAGCACAGGGACTGGACTCCTGCTGGGACTCTGAGGAGCACAGGGACTGGACTCCTGCTGGGACTCTGAGGAGCACAGGGACTGGACTCCTGCTGGGACTCTGAGGAGCACAGGGACTGGACTCCTGCTGGGACTCTGAGGAGCACAGGGACTGGACTCCTGCTGGGACTCTGAGGAGCACAGGGACTGGACTCCTGCTGGGACTCTGAGGAGCACAGGGACTGGACTCCTGTTAGTGCCCAGAGTCAGAACTAAACATGGGGAGGCTGCTTTTCAGATTCATGCTGCTAAAATCTGGAACAGTCTTCCTGAAGATGTGAGACAGGCCTCCTCTCTGACAATGTTTAAAACCAGGTTAAAGACAGTTCTGTTTAGCTGTGCTACAACTGAGGGATTTTATATTTTTATCTTTCTTTTTAATGTTCTGTGATTATTTATGATTTTGATGCTTTCTTGTTTTGTTCAGCACTTTTAGTTGCCTTGTGTATGAATTGTGCTATATAAATAAACTTGCCTTGGCTTGCCTTACTTTTAACACACGTCTGTCACCGGGCAGGTTTTGGCGAGTCTCCGGAGTGTGAGGAATAACTTCACGGTGCTCACCAACGTCCAGTGCGCCTCCAACAAGTACGGCCTCTTCTTTTTGTTCTCGTTTGTCGAGTCTGGTACAGTCTGTGGAGTCCCTTCTCTCCTTTGCTCTTACGGCCCGGAGAGTCCAGTCCACAGTGCCTCTCAGAAGTATTGATACAGCTTCAACTCGCACATGTTTTTATTGATAATTCAAGCTTTCCAGAATATGACCAGGAAAAAATAATATTTAGTGCAGCATTCTCTCGTAAAAAAAAACACTTGGCAGAAGAGAGAACAGCTGTATTTATACTGAGAGTAGATTATTCATAGATCACCTCTGCAACAGACCAAGGCTGTTTCACCACTGACAGAGCAGCCATCTTCCTGTGGACTCACCCCCTGCAGAGGATCAGAGGGACTGGTGCTATGAGCGTTGGGTGCAGCTCTCATTGCCACCCCCCTGACCCAGAAATGGACAATAAAGGGCTTGAAAATGAATGAATGAACCTCTGCACTTTCAGAAGTCCTTAGACATGTTTTAAATACAATTTAATGCACTCTGAGAATAGTTTTATGAATACTTGTGCAGGCCTCACTTTTCACACTCAAAATAATAGAATCATGTAATATTTTACTTTCACTTCACAGTTGTCTGTTACGTGTGTAAAAAATCTTATTAAAATTGTAATGTTTATGGTTGTAAACATGACAAAATGTGCAAAAGTTCAAGCTGCGTTCATGTTTTTGAGAGGCACTGTAAGTTTGTGTCATCACGTAAAAACGATAAACTTTTGAGTCATATACTCTGGGTTTTCTCCCGTGTGTGTCAGTGTTTGTCCAACTGCAGTCTGATTGTCTTCATGGACTTTGACCATAATATGGTTGATTGTCCTTTCCAAGGAAAATAATATTGTATATGTATTAACAAAGCAGTTGTATTTATCCTGAGAAAATAATATATAAATGTATTCCAAGTGGAGCATATTTTCCATTGGTAAAATAATGACTGTTTCTTGAATCTAATCATGTACTTGTAATGTTTGGCCACCAGAGGGCAGTGCAGGCCTCGTCACGAGAGCTCTCCAGTTCTATAATCATATAGTAGTGCTCATAGTATATATATATATATATATATATATATATATAATATTGTGAAGTAAAGTTAGAAAATATGATGAAGTGTATAGTACACAGAATTCAATAGTTTTCAAATTCTAGGAAAAATATTTAACATAAGACCTCAGGGCTTCTGAAAAGCACACGTTGTCAGACATGAGGCAGTCCGATTGCCAACACGGGGTTTAGAAAAAATCGTTACACTTAGCTGTAATTGATTTCATTGAGAAAATTGCAAATCGCATAAAAAACAATATATGTATTAAGAATTATTATTCCCCCTGGACTGCACCTTAACGTGGTGGGGGAGTTTGAGTACTCGGAGGATCCTGGGAGCTATGCTGTCTGGGGCTTCATGCTCCTGGGAGGGTCTCCCATGGCAGACAGGTCTTGGGTGACAATCTGATTTCTACAATACATGGAACGCACAATAATAAGATCCATGACGTCGCCCGGCATGGCACCGCTGGGGCCCCACCCTGGGGCCAGGCCTGGGGCCAGGCCTGGGGTTGGAGGCCGAGATACAGACTAGAGATAATCGGCCTCACCTCCATGCACAGCTATAGGCTTAGTCTTTGAGTGTCAAAGAACCGCTATATAAACAATATTATTATAATATAATATAATTATTATCATCAATGAATAAGGTGTGCTCGACTTACCCAAAGTCGGGCATCAGATTTACATTAACATCTGGCAATATATGACATAGAAAATGATGTCAGCTACAATGACAAATGTTTTTCTCCACAGGAGGTCTCCAGCTGCCACCACCCAGCCCCCCATGACCAGAGTCTGCCTCCCGGGTAAGAGCCCTTCCTGCTGTCGCTGTGTTTAAGCTGGAAGTCCTGTATTATCGGAGCTACGAGACACTGACACTGACACTGTCATAACTGTCTCCTGTCTGTGGTTTGTGTCGCTGTAATCTCTGGGACCATTACATGAAGTTCAGTCTCTGTCCGTGTTGTCAGCGTTTTTATACATCATCAGCATCAATGTGTTGAGCAATAAAACAAATACTTCAATATAGTTCATTCACAAAATAACATGTTTTAAAGGTATAAACACTGCTCTTAAATGGATTATTATAAGTTATAATGTTTCTATTTGGGGTTTGAGCTGTATTTTAGTTTCTCCATTTGACAGAGCGTCAGCTTCTTGTTCCCAGACCAGAGTCATGTTTTCTCCACCTTTGGTTCTTTGATTCTGTGTGAACCCCGTGTTGGGCCTGTTCATGTTATTCACTTGGTTATGTGACCGCACCTGCATGTGGAAGCCTGACCTCGGAAGCTAAGCAGGTCCTGGTTAGTTCTGTGATGGGAGACCTCAGCCACACCAGGTGCTGCAGTGGGATAGCTGTGGTCGATATCAGAAGGTTAAGAGCAGAACTTTGGCCATAGCAGCTGTAATCTTACAGACAGGGAGGTTGAATGAATGTTTATGAACCTGGAAAGTTTCAAGTGACATTTGGGGCGGTTCTATACGTATCACAATCATTTAAAATGATCACTTTTGATTCATCAGAGTTACAGACATTTTTATGGTTGTTGATTATGGTGATGTCAGTAGAAATTCAGAAAAACTAGTTCCCCCGTAGTGAACAACACAGAAATGTCCTGTGGAGCGAAAAAAAGGATCTCTTAATCTCAATCTTGTTGTATTTATATTGAGATTTGAAAAGCAATCGTAATTACTTCCCAATAACATTCCAGCAGATTTACAATTTTCACCAAATCCATAATTATATTGTATCACACTGATATTGAGATATCTGGTACGGATATGGAGATATGAACTTTTGCCTTTCATTGAGCCCTATTCCTGACACAATATTGTTTTATCACATTTTCTATTCATCCGGATTAAAATACACACTTAATAAGCACTCCAGCCCTTTCTTCATTCTTATCTTGGATCTGCCCGATTGCGTCCAGGCGGGGTAATGAGCTCGCTGACAGCTGTCTGGATGGAGAAGGGGAAAGCGGTGGAACTCGGCACGTACGCTTGCTTCGGGCGGCTTTGTCGAGGTTGTGTTGTCGAGAAGAAGAGACACGTAGCCCTGTTTTTGGCCCACTTTTTTAAATTTTTTTATTATTAGTTTATTTAAACAGGGACAATGCACATGAATTAACATCACTGTAAATGTGCCAGTTTTAGCTCCAGAGCTAATTTTCAACTGTAGTCCCTGGGCAAGATGTAGATTGCCAACAATATATAACAATAACAACAACAATCATTATTAACCTAAAAATGATAAAACAATTCATTAGTATGAGCTCCCACACAACCTATGTTAAAATTCGGCACAAACACTACACCATAGACAATTACACACAACAGAATTACAACGGCAGCAGGCATTAGCACAAAAGCAGAAAAAATAAAATACATTAACATTGATGTGCACAAGTTTGATTCTCAAGTAACCAAGATTTTAACTTATTTTTAAAGGACCTTAATGTATCGACATTGCGTATGTGAGAGGGGACAGTGTTCCAGAACTGGACTGCTCTCACTGAAAAGGCCGACTGACTGAAGGCACTTTTCCTAAGGGGGACTAACAGGTTATTTGAGGTGGCAGATCTAGTTTGTCGCCTGCTCAGATTTAGAAAAATTACGATCAATACAGAGTCAATACTTTGACTCTGTATTGATCGTGTCTTCTCTGACCTGTTGAGCTATAGTGGGACACACTGTACATCCAAGAATGATATGAAGTATGTGTTTATAGAACGGATTCCATGCTTTAGGCGACACAGTATTGTAAAGGAGACATATTAAAAGTAAATTCACTCTATTAGCCAAATTACAATATCATCAGCTATCATAGCTAGCTGTTTCATGGTAACTTCCGGGTTTTTCGCGATCGCTTTTTGTCACTTTAAAACAGTATTTTTGTCATGTAAACTTTGACAGCAAATTCTGAAATCGTCCGTGCATGTGTGTTAAGGATGTATATGTATACTGTACTGTCTGATTAACGTTTAATGGTGTTGATTGATTGATATGTATTTGTTTATTGAGCGTGGCTAGCTCCGCTAGCTTCTCTACACAGTGTAGTGACAGGCGCTGATAGCTTGTTGTACTTGCAAAGTAATGGCAGTATTTTATACACCTGAATTACAAACAGAGATTGCATTGGGGCTGCGGTCATTATTGGTTTGAGAGTTCTGTTATCAAGAAAATGATCGGAAGAATTACATTCAAGTCAATGGAGTGCTGCTGTGAGGAGCTGTATAATAAATTATAATTAAATATTAGAATATATTCTAATGTTTTTAAATTAATACATTCGGACGCGAAACTAGCAGTATTCTTTTACTTATATATTGTGTTAGCAGTGCGTTGCTTTAGTACCATTTCATCAGTGATTGTTGCACAGCTTACAAGAAGTTGCGCTAATGCTAATGTTAGCATACGTATCAGATCGCAAATAAAACTAGGTGGCTCCGTGTTCTGAGAGCGTCGGGGAAATGAGAAGCCTGTGAGCGAGTTGGGGGCGGGGCTAAACATTCAAACATTGCAGAAACGGGTATAGCGCCTTTAGCCCCTCCCCACGCTCATATCTTCCCTTAACAATGAAATAGAGCCGTCTGTGCAGTTTTTATAGCTTGATTCTGCGTCTTGTGTTTTTGTCCTTTCGGTATCCTTTTGTGTAAGCTGTTTTGGCACTGTCTTTGTGCACTCCCCTCTGTCTCCGTCTGCTGCTAACGCCACATTTTTGGCTGTAGTTTTGAAGAAGATGACAAAGTCTGGGATCGCGTCTTTAATTCAGACAGAAGACATGTTTTATTGTCGATGGTAGAGACAGCACGAACAACAGATACAACAGAATGCAAGTGTACTATACAGAGCGGAGGCATGGAGACCTCCAATCAGCAGCTTCCACGGTGTGCTTGTAGCTTGGCCTTCAGATAGACACAACAAGGGAAAAGTACAGGCTTCTGCACATTGATAGAATGATGAGTTTAACTTTAACAAAAGTTGCTTCAAAGTGTTATGAAATCTCACATTCCCCCCTCTGGTCATACATTCACGTGTGACCAACAGGATCGATAAACAGCAACATAACATCATAACTCAATACTTCAAAAACTCATAAACTCGGTACTTCACTCGGTACTTCAAAAAACTCAGAACTCGGAATACTTCAAAAACTCAGAAAACTCATAAAACATGTTCAGATCTTTCATAAAACTTGTCAACAATCTTCAGTAAAATACCAAACTTCATCAGTCGATGTGGTTCCAGATATTGCTTTGAAAACAGTCTCTCCCACTTCTCTGTTGGTTTCTTCAGGCTGCATCTGTTGTGTCGAGCCATGAATTCTTCTGTGACGTGTCTTTCAATCACACGTTTCAGCTTTAGTGTCCAGATTCAGCAATTCAATTCAGTCCAAATGATGTCCAAATTCAGATATCCAATTGTTCCAAATCATGTCCAAATTGTGTAATCCAATTGTTCCAAATGATGTCCATGCAAAAGAGGACGATGGTGTTGTCCATGTCTCAGCAGCTCACAGCCTGACTGGAATCAGGGGCTGTGCAGATTGTCCAAGTGCTGGTCCAGATGCATGGTTTCTCTTGAGGTTTCTCAGTTTTGGCTTAAAAAAAACAACACATTTTTGTGTAAAAAAAAAGTAGTCTTCTGTTCTCTAGATGTTACAGACAAGGCCCGCATTCTTCCACCACCTGAAGAAGATGACATAGTCTGGGATCGCGTCTTTCATTCAGACAGAAGACATGTTTTATTGTCAATGGTAGAGACAGCACGAACAACACAAACAATAGAATGCAAGTGTATTATACAGAGCGTTGGCATGGAGACCTCCAATCAGCAGCTGCCACAGTGCCATGTAGCTTGGCCTTCAGATAGACAAAACAAGGGAAAAGTACAGGCTTCTGCACATTGATAGAATGATGAGTTTAACTTTAACAAAAGTTGCTTCAAAGTGTTATGAAATCTCACAGTTTAGCAGTTGATTTGGCTTTTTTTCAGCCTTATTCTTGCTTGGACCTGGTGAGTCTGCTGGTTTCATTATTTCTTCTGCAGGTGTAGCTAGTTGGGTTTAGAAGGTCCTGGGTTCGAATCCCGGTTGGACCAGGGCCTTTGTGAGTGGAGTTTGCATGTTCTCCCCGTGTCTGCGTAGGTTTCCTCCGGGTGCTCCGGTTTCCCCTACCACTAAAAATATGTCCAATAGTTCAGGCATGTGCCTCCTGTACTGGCCCCACTCCCATCTCTGTGTGGAGTGAGAGATTAATGCCCAAAAAAAAAAAATAACAATTGTAAACCGCTTTGAGACTCTGATCTGCAGTGAAAAGGCGGTATATAAATAAAGATTACTTACTACTACTACTTACTTACTTTCACTCTTTTGTTACTTTCGGCTGGCTCTCCAGGGCCATCTTTGATTGGTTACTTTAGGTTTTGTGTTCTGGACATGGGGTTGGATTTTGGAGTCCAATTTATAGAAACAACTGAAGAAACAACATAAAAAGGATTTTAAAGGTGTTCTGTTCGAGACTTAACGAATCTAAATGGGCTGTCTTAATTTTTCAGTTTATTGTCATTCTGTACTTGATGGAATGTGTGGAATCATGAAAGGCCCAAAACGTATTAATATTACACCTAATACTTTAGCATCAACCAGTCTTTTGTTTCAATCTCCCTCTATTCATAAATGCATTTATACTGGCTTCATTGCTCTAAATCCCAATGTAAGTAAGTAAGTAATGTTTATTAATATAGTGCATTTCACAGATCAAGGTACAGACCCAAAGGTACAGACCCAAAGGTACAGACCCAAAGCACTTTCCAATGTTCAGAGTCAGATATTGT